TATTGTTGAATCGGAGACATTCATTGATTATTTTCTATTTTCAACATTGCAATCTCTACATTTTCCTAAAACATTTCAATAAAGAAGCTAGTCCACTCACCGCTTTGAGCAGATCACAGAATCGAGAGTCACAGATATCAAGATATTTTAAAAAATCAATTAATCAATGATGAAGGAAAGAACAGTGTATAAACGTGCGCTTGGAAGTGGAAGTGAAAACGATGAGAGTCAGAGCGATGGCCGCTTGAATGAAGGAAAATGTACTAAAACATGCATGAATCACTAAATCTAACACTTTGAGTTAGTGATTGATAAGGAAAACATTCATAACATGGTGAAAACATCTTAAAATTTGATTGAAGTCAACTTTTGGAATTCATAAATTTGTTGGTCATTAATTTGTTTAGTTTTTCTATGAATATGTTCCACATGTCAACAATCATTGAATCTCAGACTTCTGTGGTAATTTACTGGGACAAGTAGGAAGCCAAAGTTGGAAAACACAAAGAAAAATTACACAGACATTGCAAAGTCTATTATTTTTTGCCATTAAAAATAATAAGAAAAATATTTACCTAAAATGTGAAATTATTCCTTAAGTAGAAAATGTATGATGACAAGTGTAAAAAGTATTTTTGCCTGTAACTCAGCATGCTACCACCAGAGGGAGGAGTTGAAATTTACTGCAAACACAGTCATGTATTTGTAAGTGTGCCAAATCTTGTTTTTGTTTTGTAAAAGGCAATAAACAGCTCTGAGCCTGAAGACATAGTGGTACAATCCCTTTATACTATTACAGCAGTGATACAGGAGCCTAACATTTACAAGTAAATCCATCTTCTTCTAAAAGTCACTCAGGGATTAGTTAAAACCATGTGTTATTCACTCCCTGTCAGAGTTTGGGTGAAGGGAAAACTTTGCACATCCTTCTCTGGGACAGGTGCATGGAGAGGGAACATGCTTTGCCAAACTAAAACAAGAACAAAAGTCACTCCGAAGCAGACGGAGGTAAACAAAGAGAAGGCTGGAAAAAATGTGTATTCAAAGTTTGTTAACGTGTATCAACAGAGCAGCATAATTATCACAGGTACAAATTGATTTACTAATCTTGCAGAAGGATGTTTGAACGTAGAAAATAAAATCAGGGGAGTTCAGGCATCTCACAGACGCTCTCATTGTTGCTGCTTGTTGAAGGAAGCCCAAAGCCCTTGCACCCCGCCCCTCTGACTACAGCTCTGCAGACCGGGGACAATGCCTCATTCTTGCCTTTACAATATTAGATCACAAATGCAGCGAGTGTGTGCAGAGTGGCTCATTTTAAAAGGTTCTCGTATGATGGAAAGGCCGGTTTTCTGCTTGTGCTGCGTCTCCGTGGAAACTTCTGTGTTGGTGCATCTGGATGTTTTGGATAGAATAGAGGAGTCCAACCAGGAAGCTGAAAGGGAGGAGAGCGCGTGAAGGTTGTATTGTAAACGTCAATGACATGAGTCTATATGAGTGGGACCCCCTCTGGTCTGGGATGACTGGGGAGGAGTGGTGAAAGACTCAGCGGTGGCCCCGAGCGCAGAGGTGTGAGAGCAGGAGCAGGACTATAGGAGCCGGAGTCTAAGTTCAAAACAATATCAAAGTCAAAGAAAGGAAAGAAATGTCGATAATGGCTGAGAGACTGTTCAAGTTTGACGTCAAGTTTGGGTCAAGTCAAATATATTTTACAATCTTCAACGTCATTATGTACAAGAGATACACACTTTTAGCTCACAGAGTGGTACATGCAGTATGTTGAATATTTAGTACATCTCAAAATGTATCAATCTAGTAAATATCGTCAATTACGCTAATGACAAGTGTGTTATGAATGTGTAAATCATACGTTTCTCTTGTTTTTACTTTGACCAATCAGAGGCGGCCTTTAGTCAGATATCATTCAGCCCTTCCATCCATTAAATTCACATTTGACTCACGCCTCCGTCTGGATAGCTTCTGGTCAGTTTAAGGAGCTGGTCAGTGATGTGCTCAAAGAAAAAGCCCTGAGGAAATGAGAATTATTCAAGAATAAATAATACATTAGACAATATCACATGGATGAGCTACTGCAGGATTCAGGCCTTGGAATCCCCTTTGAGAATCTTCAGAGAATGGTCCATTTCTTCCATCACCCTTACAGTATATAATTTAGAAATATGTTATGATTGGGCGGCACGGTGGCTGAGTGGATAGCACTCTCGCCTCTCAGCAAGAAGGTCATGGGTTCGAATCCCGGTCGGACCATGGCCTTTCTGAGTGGAGTTTGCATGTTCTCCCTGTGTCTGCGTAGGTTTCCTCCGGGTACTCCAGTTTCCCCTACCACTAAAAATATGTCCAATAGTTCTGGCATGCGCTTCCTGTACTGGCAGCCCCGCTCCCATCTCTGTCTGGAGTGAGAGACAAATGCCCAAAATTAACAATTGTAAACTGCTTTGAGACTCAGATCTGCAGTGAAAAGGTGGTATATAAATAAAGATTACTTACTTACTTTGTAGAGGTCAAAAATCCAATCCAAACCCAATGAAATGTGACCAGTGTGAGTAAAAATGGATTCAAAAGGTTCATACCCACCTCTGTTGTTTTAAGGTTGGCACAACTGGCACCACATTTGTTTTCTATCACTGCACAACGATGATTCAAAATATCTCATCATTTTTTCCAGACGGTTGAACCCCTTGGAGAAATTCAATGGTTTTGGGGTTTTCCACTGGAGCTAACTTTAGATATTTCAGTCCAGTGGGAATAATTGTGTGCCCCTCTTCTTCTTCACGACAGCGACCAGACTGAGCCAAACCAGGGCACAGTGTCTGCATGCGTCTAATGGGTCCTAAGGCCAGTGCCAGACCAGTGGAGTGTTTTAAGACTTATGAGACTTATGCTTATGAAAAAAAAGAATAACAAGGTTAGCTGCTTGGCCTGAGGAAACAGAGGAGCCTTTTGCTTCTCTCATGAATTCTGTAATTAGAATCAGATAACTTTTATAGCCGCTCGAGAGCTGGACATAAACAGGTCTCGACGGGGAGATGCAGATAATCACCTTCTCAACAAAATGCACAATATTTCTCATTTCATAGACAACTTGTTCAAGGGTACACAACTGCACAATCAACTACACAATCAACTGTTCACAGCTTTTTACCATGTTGTTTTAAGATTGATTGATTGGGCCATTACTTATATATTGCTTTTGGATGAGTTTAACCCTGATTTTATCGATGTATTGTGTATTCCAAATTGTTGGTAAGTAAATAATCATTATTACTATATCGCCACAGACCACAAAGCGCTTAACAATTGTTGTGCGCATTTGTCGTCTCTCTCGACACATGGAAGCTAGTACAACTTAACTCACACAAACTTGCTGCGCTAGATACGATCCAGCATCTTTCCAGAACGTTAAGATACTTGATTTTGTGGTTTCTTTGTTAAATAAACATTTGGTTCAGGATTTGAAACCAACTTAAATATTGGAGTTTGTCTTTTTCAACATTTTTCCACCAATATTTTCACTTCCTGCAAATCTTCCTTCCTGACTTGCTCTGAAAAATCCAAACTAATCCATCTCAAATTTTCAACTTTCCACCTCCATCACATACAAAGTGCAAACGCAATTCGGTGCAACTGAATACAATGTGTGCTATAATGTGTTTAATTTATAACATTGTTTTAGATACATCTTAATAATCCTATTTCTATAAATAATAATGAGCCACATGTGTTCTATGGCAGCTCTGTTTATTTATTGTGCTCTGCGATACCAGGTGTCCTAAGGCAAGACACTGCAAACACATAGACAGTAATTAACAATGAGAGATATGGCAGGAAATAATCAAATAGTAAGCTGATCGTTTTTAGTACATCACTGGATTTACTTTTTGAAGGGAATATGAAGAAATTATGCAGAATTGGGAAGAGGTTGTTTTATTGATGTTCATTTTAAATATACTTAAGTTTTCCTACTTTCAGAATTGATCTAATTGATCAATTCATTAGAAAAGATTCTTGGCCAAATACGTAAGACATTTGCACCAATTGTGTCCTGGAGGTCTGCACAGCTGACACACTGATGCCTTACTCTGGCAGAAGCTTGTGAAGAAATGTCAAATGCACGACGCAGGTGAAACACTGACCCAGATTTAGAAAGGACTGCATCAGTTTTAAATGTTATCATGAATTCATCTCTCCATCTGACAATAGAAATACAGCTGCTCTATGACTCCCAAGGCACCGCTGAGGACCATATAAGAACAATTATGTGAAACCAATAGCTTTTCTGTAAACATATTTTATCAACTTTGAATGTGTGCTTTAGAGTTTATAAAACACTTGCATTTTATATCAGAGACTACATAAACTTTGAATAGTTGCCTTTAACTTGACAGAGAATTGACCAACTGTTTATTGATAATTTGATTGTAATGAATAAGGATTACTTGCTTTAACCCTGATGCTAATAAGTCAAAAGTCCACTTTACCCACATGAAATAGCAATTTATGAATTGGCATTTGAAGTACAGTGTTCTTGAATCTAACCAGTACAATTACAAATACGTAGACACACTCATTGCCCCATCTTGTTAACATGATGTAGCACATGCCAGTAAAAGTAAGGGTGCAACATTGTGAGTATCCAAACACATGTATAACAGTACACTCTGCAGAGGTGTGTTCTGAATGACATCAAAGTCTATTTTTAGTCATCGAAAAGTGTTTTATTGACAAAAAAAACAAGGAATAATCCAGATTACAACCAAGGGACAGGCTTCACAAAAATGCTATTATAGTGAAATATAAATTATCGTTTCAATATTCCGTAAACGGTGTTGACCCCAGACAAAAAAAGAGTCAGACGTGGACACATCAGCAGCAGGTTTTCCTTTAGCATCAGCTCTTTTCACTGCAGGAAGGTACAAACGCTGGCTCTATTCGTAATGTCTTTACCACCAGGCATCGCGCAAGGCTTTCTAATACCGCCGCGGCCCGTGGGTGTTGGTCCAATTCCCAGCCACTAACGGATCCGCTGCTTCCGAAAAGTCTTGAATAGTTTCCTCTTCCACGTATTTGTCTATTTTAGCTCGTTGTCCATCATCGGCCACCGGACTACGGCATCTATCATAGTTGTGTTTGTTATTACTCGGGATGGGGGAAGTACAAGGCCTCGGGGTGAAAGATGGGACTGCTTGGTGGATGTTTGGTGAATGTGATCTGTGGTGGTCCTCAGATACGTCCAGATGTGTGGCAGAGAAGAAGTACACGGAACAACAGGCCAAGAAGCTGTTCCCGCAGGTTTTTGTACCTGTGTGCAACCCGGATGGCACGTACAGCGAGGTAACACTCAAAACACAAAGAATATAACTTAAAAGTCTGAAGAAAATATGTGGTTTAAACTTAACTCTTATTTTGGCCCGGTCTGAGGTCTTTCAACTTGTCTTTATTGATGGAGCTTCCAACATATGCTGTGCTCATAACAGTTTCTGTCCACACGCTAACACCAAAGTCATTAGCCCCTGTCTGACTAAGGAGCTGCTAAACAGTTTTGAATTGTTGTACACTTGAAAATGACAGATACGCTTTCAATCTATTTAATGAAGAGGGGAAAAGCGATTGTAAGTGAGTTTACAGTGCTAAAACTTACAGGTGTTCTCCAGGATGGGACAGAATTCAATGAAAAATAAAAGTTATGACAATTGCCCCCCACAAAGTAATGAAACACAAAGGACTTTTAATGTTACTTCTGCATTTTCTCTTTAACGTTGTGTCAGAACTTTATGGCTCAGCCTTATATTCTATTATCAAAAGTTTATATTTCCTGGCATTATTTTCTCTGCCATGACCATTTTTCAAAGATTAAGTTGACAAGTTGACACAGACCGGCTTGACTGGCTTCCATGCTTTGAACAAAATGGCTTCACTTAATCACTGACCCTGAGCGGCAAAACCAATCTCTTATCTTTTATATTCTGAAAATGACAGAGAAATCATGTAGTTTTTAAATACTTCTGAGCCCAAAGTTGGAAGAGGGTTTTATCGTGCAAGTTCACCCATAGCTCAGTCTCAGAAGCTTGCTACCAGTTCAATTTCACACAAAAATGTTTGATAAATGATTATAATGGGAGACAATCTTTTCAGTTTAATCACATTAATACCAAAACAAACAATTGAGCTTGACTATTGTAACATGTCTTTGTTCCTGGACAGGTTCAGTGCCACAGCTACACTGGATACTGCTGGTGTGTGACTCCCAACGGTCGACCCATCAGTGGTTCAGCAGTGGCCAATAAGAAACCCAGATGCCAAGGTATGAAAAGTATGCAATATTTATTTACAATTATATAAAGACATAAAAATAGGAAAGGATACAGACTTAAAATTGATGCTATTTTTCACATACATTGCTTTATTGTTATATTCTGGTTGTTTTACTGACACACAATTGACTACAGAACTTGTTATCATTGACCCCCAATCCCTTAGTAATAAATAACAAAAGTATAATACAAAATGATACCTTTAGTGATAGATTGTTCCTTCCTAAAGGCCATAATTGCTATAATATACTGTGCCCACCTGGAATCCAGCTTGTGTTTCATTCTTATGACATCACTTCATTTTTCAAATTCTGATAAAACCACAACATTTCCCACATTTCCTTTCAGTCCATCTCTCAAACTCAAATAGTTTATCAAATATTGCCAAGTAAACACAATGCGTCATTCAGTCTTGGGCTCTTGGGAGAGTGGTCAGTGGCTGGGCTGGTGGATTTGCTTTATAAAAACAGTTTTGTTGGAATTGTTGTTTTTTTGGTGTAAATAATACAAGGAGAAAATCTTTGTTGAGAAGTTGTGCAACAAAAGAAAACTGTGAATAACGTTCTGCTTGATGCAGTCTGAAAAACAATCAAATCAGGTCCACATGTCCCTCAGAGCCGCTGCTGGGGGCGACCGGGAAGATGGGGCCAGTCCCCCAGTTGTTCTAGAAGTCAAGAGAGGCATAAAAAACAGAGCAAATTAATTTAATGTATAGATCAGGTGTCTCCAACCTTTTATTATCCAAAGAGCTACTTTCCAAGGACAATAAAGCCAGAGAGCTGCTCCTTTTAGCTAACCCTGGGAAAAATGTTGTGATATATTGGTGTGAACAAGCCTGATATTGGATACAGTCATTATATATCATTGCATATTTGTTACTAGAGACAAAGTAAGTGCATTTACAATAATGAAAAATGATCATGAATAATATAATCTGAAATATCAAGTGTATTGTTGAATTTGGTTATTTTCTAAATCCTTTGGCAAGCTACCTGGAAGGGGGCGGCGAGCTACCAGTGGCTTTGAGCTACAGGTTGGAGACCCCTGGTATAGATTTATATAGTTTTTTGCCTTTAAAATCAAGTCACTATCTATTTAAGTTGAGTTAAACTGTATACTGAATGTTTACTAAACTAAAGACCACTAGGACCTCTGGAGTTCACCCTAAAACCTCTGGACCTCTTTAGTTGTTGCTTTGAATTCTCTTTCTTGTTCCCAACTCTGGCCACCTGTACACAATATATATATAAGTATTGGAAAAAACTAAAATCAAGCAAGTGTGAGTTTTACGCGCACATTCAAGTCTGAGTAGCGTGCAAAAAGTCGAACAATTTTTTTTTATGAATCAGTGAATAAAAATCAAACATAATTTTATGACCACCTATAATCTTTTAGTCTCAGCACATTTAGAAGTTTCAATGATTACTGAATTCTGTATTTCTTTGTTATGTTAATTTCAAAGGCTTCTATTGATAGCTTTTAGGTAATACTGACTTATTTACAGCAATGTTGATTAATGAGTACCGTCCCTATTCAAAAAAACTATACAAAATAAAAAAAATAATAAAATGAATAATAGTAAAAAAAAAAAAATGTCCTTACTGAGAAGTCTTGCATCTTCACAAACCTACTGTCAAGGAGGGCTTCTTTCCGCCTGTCTGTCTGTCTGTATTGTGTCTATCTATTGTATCTCTAATTCTCAAGGGCAAAAGTGAATTCATGATACATTGGTTTTTTACACAGAAAAACAACCAACAATGGACATTATTTTCTCTTTTTATAAGCCGTCTGTGAACATATACATCATAAACTTGCGTGGTAGAACAATCAACAAATAACTAGCTGATTACAACATCTTCTCTAAAACTAAAGACTTTTACAAACATGGATCGGTTTATACTCAAGGTTTTTATCTGCTTCTCTGTTTGATTTGTGCCTGATTACCTCACAGATAGTTGCTCTCTTGGCATGACTCCACTTTGGCTGCAGCTTTTTAATTAAGACTTTGATTCCTGCGCTCGGACCTGAAACAAGGTTCATCATAATTATAGAAACAGATGGCAGCTATTTATAATCTGTTTTATAACGACAGCCGATAAAAATGTGGTGATAATGTTTTCACGGCTTTTCAGGATCAAAGCAGGAGCGCGCGACCACGAGAGAGCCGGGCAAAGCAGGTGAGAATTTAATGAATAAAACACATTGGCTGAAGAGTGTGTGCAGGTGTCCTCACAACACACACCTGTGCACAGTTCAAATCCTCTGAAATTAGTGTTTTTATTTGGGGAGGGAATGCAATGATGGTTAGACATGAAAGACAACACAAAATGGGTGGTGTTAACATTTCATTGGCCAATACAGAAATGTTGTACAATGAAACAAGTCAATGAATAGATAATAAAAACCATTCTTTTTATTCCATGGCCCCTTTTTAGACACCCAAGAACGCCTACAATAGAGTAAAAAACTCACACAAAAAAACAGAATAAAGTAGGTAAATAAGTAAGTGGGTAATTTTTAAATACATAGCGCATTTTACAGACCAAGGTCACCCAAAGCTCTTTTCAAAGATATTTTTCTATTCACTCCCCAAAATGTAAAATACATTTAAAATATTACCATGAATAACCCAATTTGAAAAGGTAGATTCTGAGATGTGATTGTATAAAGCGTTGTTTTCGAAATTTCTAATCATTTGGATTATAACTGCACATTTTACAACATTACTGAAGCATTCAGAAAGACGCACAGAATTAAGTTATTTGTGGTATATGTGTATCATACATGGGTACCAGTGCACGTGATAGTTACTTTTTTAAGTATAGTTTAAAATACAAAACAAAACGTCAACTGTTTAATGAACTGTAAGGACATTGAGTACTTGCAAAAAGCACATACAGGTTCTGACAGTTTAATCGTTACGTCTGGGCTACCGTATTTCACTTGTTTTTTCATAAATCAGACCACAACACACTCAGCGCATGTTATTAGAAAACATTTTATCCATTCCGTAGTTGTAGGAAAGACTTTTTGACTCTTTGTGCTGAGAGCTGATTGGCTGAGTGAGGGTGGTCCTCTCTTTCTAAGGATGTGACAGAGGTAAAAAAAAATACATGCATCTGAAAACAAGTGATAGAACCCAGGAACTAGTTAGGTGGATTTTTGTGGTTGGGCTTCTTTTATTTATAGCTACTGTAACTGTCATATGTGCTGCTTGGAACATGGAAATAACGTTATAAACTTGACAAAACTGGTAAAAAATCTTGCTTATTAGTGAGTTGTAACTTTTCATATGTGCTTTAGCTCATCCCTAAACCGAAACCTTTCATTCATTCTGAAGTAAGTCTTTCTTTGTGCCTTCACTTTTGTAAACAGTATGTAAATGTTACTGATCAGTTTTTAACAGTGTGGCTTTGGTCCAAAGTACTTTCTGTCTGTGTCACTTGTTAAGACATGTCTCTAATATTTAGTCGATCTGAAAGAGTGTAAGCAGCCTGGAGGAGAGAAGCTTTGGTGTGTTATTCCACCACACAGCTGCCAAAATGGATCCACCATATTCTGCTGTTACTCACACCTCTTTTTCTTCCAGCGACGGGCCAAAGAAATGCAATAACCACTGAAGTTTAACCTTGATTTAGCTCTAAAACTCTTGCCCAAACCATTGAATAAAATACAATGGTTATGACTAAAGCAGAAATTGGTTTTCTATTGTTTTATGTATCTGCATAAGTGTTATGCAGATATGGCCATGGCTCCTCTCAGTGTAAGTGACATTAAACACGGCCAGGATCAAAAACATAGTGTCTAAAGCAGACTTGGAGATTCTTATCCATGCATTTGTCTCCAGTAGGTTAGACTATGCGATGGCCTGCTCACAGGTCTGTCCAAACAGGCTGTAAAACAGCTGCAGTACATTCAAAATGCAGCAGCTCGAGTCCTGACTATAACCAGGAAGTACGACCATATTAGTCCGGTCCCCAGGTCTCTGCACTGGCTTCCTGTGGCTCAGAGAATAGACTTTAAAACAGCTCTGCTTGTGTACAAGTCTCTCCATGGCCTTGCACCAAAATATATTAGTGACATGTTAGTCCCATATGAACCAGCCCGGACTCTGAGGAGCACAGGGACTGGACTCCTGCTGGGACTCTGAGGAGCACAGGGACTGGACTCCTGTTAATGCCCAGAGTCAGAACTAAACATGGGGAGGCTGCTTTTCAGATTCATGCTGCTAAAATCTGGAACAATCTTCCTGAAAGTGTGAGACAGACCTCCTCTCTGACAATGTTTAAAACCAGGTTAAAAAAAGTCTGTTTAGCTGTGCATACAACTGAGGGATTTTATATTTTTATATTTCTTTTTAATGTTCTGTGATTATTTATGCACTTTGAGTTGCCTTGTGTATGAATTGTGCTATAAAATGCCTTGCCTAAGTGGTTTTACAGCATAAAATACAAATAAAAAAAAACAAAATATGCTTTAACATTTATCATGACTAATTGGTAGTTTGTAAAAATTATTCATTGGCTTCTTATAACGAAGAGCTGTTCTCTGGTTGATCTGTTTTGTTATGTTTTATTTCTCTTACATCCTTCTGAGACAGCTTCCCTCGTATTCATTGAAAGTTAATTCAACCAATGAAAAAAATATTGAATCCATCAATCAGTGCTAAACAAAATTGCTGAAAAACCCCAAGAAATCCTCTCTCCCATCACTTGCTCTATGCTGAGGACATCACTCACTTTCTTCCACTTATTTATTTTTTTCTTCTATTTTTGGTTTTTCAATGGAATCATATTTGCTCAGTTGTTCCAAAGAGTGGAGATTTCAACGTTTTATACCATGACAATAAAAATGGTTCCGGCACACTGCTGTCTTTGCAAAAATATATATTTTTATAGGAAAATGTAATGTTTTGGTCCTGAGACCCTCATCAGGTAAATTGAAAGTTTTATACTGTACCATACAACGTTCCCTCCAACTCAAAACTACTGGCCACATTCAAACTGGAAAAGTACCCAGTTTCTTACAACTCAAAGGAAATATGCTTGAAAAATAAATAGGCTGTATTCTGGTATTAGTTTCCACAAATATTTGTTAAATTTGTCCGATGTTAAAGTATTATTTGCACAGGGTTGGAAGAACATCGAGATATTTGTATCAGATTAAAATCAAACAAACTCAACCCAAACTTGGTCCATCTTTAATCCTCACTCCTCATACTACTCTTGACTTTAAACTAGACAACTATGAGAAAATGCAGTTGTGACTGAAATACTCTTAAACCAGCTCAGAAAATGAATGAAGCAGTGAGCAGAAACCTCACTGACCTCAGTGTTTACCCTCCTGGTGTGACAGCGCCGAGCCTGGGACAACTTTGTTTATTTACTTTTCATGCATCTAGAGAAGTTTAAAGCCATAAATTTACATCAGATTTGAGTATGTAGTGCTAAGATTTGGCACCGATGCGTGGAGCCTGAACATACATTTTGATGCCACAGGATTTTGGCAACATTTCTAAATACGTTTCTATGTTATTTTTGCAGTTTGAAATGTATGTGGATCTACTTTTACAATTGGTCTGTCAGTATCATTGTACAGTTTGTAAATTGTCTTTTAATTTGATTTAGTTTGGTGAGTCAGTGGTCAGACTAAGGGGTCTGAGTGGTTGTAGTACAATTCATAAACATCAAGCATTGAAAATATAAAAAAATGATCATATTTTGACCAGATAAGTTGTAGAAATGAGTTCATAGTTCATGTTTCCATATTAGGCAGGTTTATACACACATATATGCACATTTTTAACAGCTATTGTCATAAGAGAAGTGGGCAAACATAGCGTATTTATATAGAAAGTGAAAGTTCTTGCTCCGCGGTGACATTGACTGCACATGTGCCTCTGTAAACAGAACTGGGTATATTGACAGTCGAAACGCAGCCAGCTCATTACACACAGATCAAGTGGGAATATAAAAATCACATGCAGAGATTGAGGGGGAGGGAGGGGGCCCTGTGGTTCTCTGTGAACTGTTGGATAAACAGCGTGGTGAAAGGCAGAGTAAACTGTAGATTTGTGGTGTGCCAGCTCTCAGAACAGCCCTGATTGCATTGCCTGAGCACTGCTTTCGTTCTGGGCAAGTTCTAGTTTTGACCTGGATTTGTGCAGCTTTTCAAGAGACCATACAGTACATGGCCCCTCTGCATTTTACTAAATGTTTTAGTTGTTCGCCAATTGATAGAATGTAAGCTGTAAACCTATCATAGTCTCTCCAAGCAGGACCAGTTTGAAATAAAAATACACAAATGAAAGTAATGTAAAAATGCTCATAAAGGTTAAGTACATCTATTCCACCTGAATCTCATTATCAGTAACATGTTTTCCTGAGCAGCAGAACAGTTGGCCATTCTGTCTATTAGATGAGGTTCCAGACAACTTTACTCCTCCTTTACCAAAGAAATTCTAACTGGACCTTGGAATTGGATCCTCCTTTGTGGAGAGATTGTTACAACTTGCTGAGGACATCACTCGCTTTCTTCCACCTATTTTTTTAAGTGAAGTTCAAGTTAGAAAAATTCTCTATAATACCAAATGCACCGAACAATCTGTGAGAAGTGTGCACCGTCCAGTGTTTCAATTCAATTCAATGTATTCCTGTATATCCCTATATCACAACAGTTGTTATCTTGGAGGACTTTACAAAACTGCTGAATTTGCCAACACAGGTCAGAGAATCAAACAGTTAAAATATAAGACATAGAACAGAAAACACATGGTATTGGTCCATGCAATGACCAATGTCCATAAATGTTGTTGAATCCTTTTTGTTAGACCTCACAAGACTCTAACAGACCCTCCTGCATCGACAAGAAAAACTAAAAACCCAGTGGGAAAAGTGAGAAACCTCGGGGAGAACCACACTGAGAGAGGGATCCGCTGCTTTGGACAGACGAGCTATAGATCCAGGACTCAGGCTAAAGCACGAGAACCAAGGCCACGCTGCAGGCCGCGGTGCAGGCAGCTCCCAGGCGGCGAGGGGGTGTAGCCCACGAGACGGACTGATTCATTTTCAACTCCAGTTTGGGCTTTACTAACACTAGAAAACCACTCAGTATCTTGTATCTGCCATGGCTCGGACTTGTCGCATAGTTGCCAGAGTATAATCCATGTCATGATGAGCGAGTTGTTTTGCTTCGAGCCATAGTTTAATACGATGGACCTGGTTCGGACAATCTAATATTTCTTTTATCGACGCCGGGGTTTGTCCTATTTTCAAAGGTGTCATTTCGGGTTAACATATGAAAATCAGTGTTCTCCGGCTTGACAAATGTGTTCTCATGCTGCAGGCGTCCGTAAGCTGAGGATGGACACACGGCAGTAAAAACGAATGGCGCTGACCACAAAAAAGGCGGGGGTTTCCTGGCAGATGCTAAAAGAGGTGTTAGAGTCATGTAAACGGCCGCAGAGTGAAGATGGGTCATTAGTGGTCCATCATAAATCCCACTCATAAATACACTTTCTCAGATGGCAATTCCATCCTCCCCGGGAACGCCGCGACTCCAGGATCATATAAGCAACACGTATACAGTACCAATGGTGTAGGTTTGGTTCCAATCTTGGTGGGGACATTCACTACGACCTGAGTCTACACCCATTGACACGGGGTCCAGAGTTTCTCCCCCAGAATTTGTTGTGTAATCACACACTATATTTGCAATAGTGTGTTGCCTTCTATACTAAACTCAGCTGTAGACTGAATGAGCAGTTATGTATGTTAACAGAAGATTAATCATCACAATTCATAATTTGCTATTACTTGTGCTTTCTCTTACTTACTTTCCAACTGTTAAAAAAGCTCCTGATATCTTTTATCTTATATGTGGAGGTGGCATTTTTTCTAAATTATACAAGAAGGTATAGACAATCAAAAACAGACATTCATATACATGAACTGCAGAATCATTTATATAACTTGGCCAATGTCAAAAGTTACATAGTATTTCTCAATACAATGAGTTAACAAGAGTTTGGCAATAAGTAACAGTGTGGATTTTTCTATATTTTCTTTTTTTTATTCCACTCTCAACCCAAAAAGGCAAGTAATGACTCACAGGGCTCTCAAGTATGCAAAATAAAAACTTAAATGACCTGTTGTGGTGTGTTTTGCGCACAACCAGCATGCATCGTTAACGCAATGGAAAATTTACGTATCCGAGCTTTAATTTCGGGAGCGCTGGTTGCGCTTTGGGAAGAGTCAGGGGAGAGACATGTCAGAGACACAGGGGAGAAACGCGGGAGATACGAGGGAGACCCGCACTTGCAACATGGTTCTGTCTGCATATGGTCCGAGCTCGGTACCATGTTAGAGCTGTGCTTTCACTGAGCGCCGCGGCTGTCATTACAAAGCGGCAGCAGCTGCACCAGGACGTGCACATTCGAGTGCATCGCTTGAATGTGCTTATAGCAAATAACAGCAAGTGCCCGCTGTCACACATTTCACAGAAATTACATTATCAGCAGATAAAGGTTGTAAATCGTGGATCCGTGGAATATTTTCATCACTAGTTTATCCTGATTCACACAACACACCCACTTATACATTTTGGATAGTAAGAGCACAATAAGTATTTTTTCAGCCTTTCAACCAACCTGTTTCTTTATTGGAGCCAGTTCTGTTCTGTCTCTGTGCCGTGTGAGCTCCTCGGAACATTAAACAGTGCGCTGACAGATTAGAAATAACGTAAGTACTTTGAATGGTGATAGATCTACAGTACTTTCCTCTGATTACTCACGTGCTACAACGCACAGGGAACGAAAAAAAACACTTGCTTCACGCTGGATAACTTAAAAAATTAAACAGTTGCTCAGTGCTTCAGTTTGGCGCTGAAGAAGACAGCCAATCACTGCAGAGAACGGAACGGGTCACGTGCTGCTGCTGCTGCTGTTGCTCTGGAGGCGAGGAGGAGGCGCGACGTATGCACAAACGGAAGACATGTGTCCCGGACCGTCCGGGTCACGGGACATCATGTCATTTTGGTGGGGACTTATTAGTCCTCACCAAATATTGGTGGGGACATGTCCCCATGGTCCCCACGCAAACCTACGCCCTTGTACAGTACATACACAGAGAATGATGATGATGAAGATGACGATGATGATGATGCTTTGTGTGATAGGACTTTAAAGGGACATCGCACAACTTTCTGTCTGTATGGAGATGTTATTATTTTGCTTGGAATGTATCTCAGTGACATACATGTATTAAACGTACAATATACATAAATATGTTTTTTGTGCTCAAAAACGTGAATTCTTGCAGTGACAAGGCAACTTTATTTGTGTAAAACAGTTCATACACAAGGCAACTCAAAGTGCTTAACAAAATCAAAATGTAAACATTAAAAGGAGAAACAAATAAAGTGAGCAGGCCATAGACTTGAAGCCCAATAGCAAAGTGCTCATGGACAAAGTTTTTCTCGATCTCGCTCTGGTTCAAATGAACTGACTCAGACCAATCAGATGCATTGATTTGTGGGGAAAACTCGCGCTTGCCTCAGCCACCATCTTAGCAACAGGTCTGCTCCTGTTTTGGCGCCAAGAAAACCCCATCAGAACAAATGCCCATATAAGGAAATTGGCTCCAGCTATCTTATGTTCAAACCGGCTTCTTCCACATTCGACAAACACTATGGCGACGTCAGCACTCGGTCAGTCCACTCTAAGATGCAGTTCATGAAGGCTTGCATCCCCACAGATATGAACTGTATCTTATTCATCCACATTGCACACTAATTAGTGACATCACCGAGCCAAATTTAACACAACCATTTCCACATAATCAAAGGCAATTTGCGGACCCTCCACAAAAATTCCACAAAATTAAAGTCTTCCAAACTCAATTATGATTTTTCTTCTAACTTGTGAATGTATTCAACATAAAACAACAGAACAGAATACAAAAGCAGAAAAGGAGTTGTGTAATCCCCCTTTAACTGTATTGTGACAAAACTCTTGGGTTGACTGCAGTGAATATTGGTTCATTGAATTTTTGTTGTAATAATATTTTTTTTTAACCATAAATAATCATCCATTTTGTGTTCCCAGTGTTCCTCCCATGGTTTTTACTTTTGTATCATCTTCTATTCTACATAATCATAAATAAACTATTGTTATTATTATTCATTCATTCATTCATTTCACACCTGCTTTGTTTTGAGGCGGGTTTCCAGATGTAGATGGCCCTCACACTCAAAACTACTGTTCACCTGAAAAATAATACCCACTTTCTTACCCAAATGTGTTTTAAAATAAATAAACAAGTTTGAATTGTAATCCAAATAATGGTTTCATTTATATATCTGCACTGGTACAGTATATCCATAGCATCAATTATTTGGCAAGATATGAAATGTACATTGTATTTGCTAGAGATTGGCAGGACAGACAGATTTTGGTATCTGCTGAAATCAAACATATCTCCCCATCTCTAATCAAATTTGGGTTTTACTTTTTTCCCACAGGTTTTGACCATAACATCTTTCTCTTTTATCAAGCACATCTGACCAACATGACAAACATAATGGTTAAATAAGGTCTATCATTCAGATGTTTTATGTTTTGTCCCTTTCCTCACAGGTAACAGAGAAGCACCAGAAACTGCTCATCGTCCCAATTCTTTTCATATGACCTCAATCTGTCTCCATAATGTGGGATTGTTGCGTGGAGCGAAACCACTGGAATATATGACCACTTCTTTTTGATTTTTCCTCCTTCTCTTCTCTCCTCCTTGTTTAGCTGTCTTCTCTCTGTTTTCCTCCTGGCCGGGCAAAATGTGCAAATCAAATACATAAGTGACTGTGATCTTGTTTACGTTGGTAATTGTAGTCTCCTTGCAAATATTCTCCATTCTAAATGCAGATGAGACCGGACTAGTCGTGGACCCGCAGCCCTCCACAGACGAAGAAGGTGAGTTCTTACACTGCTGATACTTAATTTTTTTGTGGAATAAAGTGTCGATATTATAGATGGGGAGAAGGATGGAAAGAGAACAAAGATATTTTTTGACATAAGTGCCTGACTTTTAATAGTCCTTGTAGTTTGTCTAAAAGAAAGAGTACAAATAAAATGTTGTGATCTATATATTTGCATACTTATAAGAAAGAGGCTTGTGAGTCACTATTTGAGTGACAGCTGACTGTGTGTAGTCCTCTCATTTTCACTTTTTTGTCTGAAAAATCTGCTCTAAATATGTGGCAGAGGCCAAAAATACATGAATGTGAAAACTATTGATAGAACCAACCTGAGACTTTAATAATTAAGTACCACCAGCTTCAATTAGTTTCAATTGAATGCATTTTTTAGAATTAATCATAGACTTTGATTACAGAGTTCACTACCACTAGTTCACATAATAAAATATGATATCACTTTTTCAAATGTAATGGTTTTGTATGTCTATATAGTGAGGACAATGAGGACTTTTGTGAAATAGGCTATGGATATAAATTAAAAGCAATATTTTGAATGTGTTTCCTATTTACATTTATATGAATTTAGTTCTAATAGAGTAGGAGAAAGTACTTTAAAAATTGTGAATACATTAATGTTTTAGATAATCTCCATCAATAAATGACCAGTCTTTGAATCTGTCTGAAATCAGGTCAGTGTAGTTAAAACATATTGGAGCAAGCAAAAGAAAACGTGTTTAATGTGATGTTGGTAAAAACCATGGAGCTTCTCATTTATAATTCAATAATCCTGCTGCTTCTGCCAGGGACACGACACAAACTATTCTTAAGTAACTTACAACAAGTGAAGTATCTGCCGAGGTCTGCAATCACAATAATAGTAATAACATTTATCTAAAGCCGACTCACATCCTCCATCACTGTGAGCTCGTCGTACCAGGCCATTTAAGGCCAGGCCACTTGAAAATACATTTGATTTATAGCTTCCATCGATCAAATATAGTCAATGTGGTATTTACTTACACAATATAGTAAAATAGTGAATTATATATTGCAGTGAAATAGACAGATAATGTGTTAATTCAGGCTATTTTGTTGATTCACAGTTTTCTTGTGCAATACGCTGCTGTTAGATATGCCTCTATGCTTTAATAACAGATACAAAATACTAGTTTACATAGATTTTTATTACTGCATTGGGTTTCCATATAACATTTCCATATTTCCAGTTCTGTTTTGCACATGAATATGTAATTTCATATGTTTCACTGTTTGACATCCACTTGCTCCCATTGTGGTCAACCCCAGTGTATTCTATTCCCCATAAACCTTTACATGACACCAATAAACAGGCGTTGTTAAATAAGTAGCCTCTTCTATTTCATGATGATGTGCTTATTTGATAACAGACATATTCTGTCAAAGTCATTCAGCTTCCACATGGGCTCAAAGCAGCTGCACAGACACTACTTTGATGTCTTTTTGTGTTCGCTTTTACAGCTTTTGGATTTGATGACTTTTGCATGAGGCTGTTTTTGATTTTGGTCTCATAAAAGTATCCCTGTGATTTCTTTCAGACATCACTTCGCAGTACCCCACGCTCTGGACGGAGCAGGTCCGCAGCCGGCAGAACAACCGGACCAGAGCGCCCTGTGAGTTCACGGATTATTTCTCCCACGCTGGTTTTTCCAGCGCACACTGAGACGGGCTCGTTTAATGGTTATGAAAGATGTTCTCAAAGTTTTGATTTGGTACAAGCGCTCACAGACCAGAGGCTGACCAATAGAATGGTTGGATAAAGGGGACAGCATGTGACTTTTGAGATACATATACAGTAGAAAGTAAAAGAATAAAAAAGACTCCATTTAAGTGGTATTACTGAGAACATTTGACAGTATGCATCACTTTTATAACTAAAAAATGCCTTGAAAATATTTTTCTTTACAATAAATAATACAGAGTGTCTGTCCCAACAGAAAGGGTCTTGCAAAAGTAACATTTTGTGTACAAATCAGACCACATATTGATGTCTGGATCTTATCAGAAAGATCCAGACAGCGATATTACTTATGACAAATAGCCTTGTAAGTTACTATTTGACACTTTGGACTTAGAGCTGTTTGGCTGAGTAAGGGTGGTCCTCTCTTCTTTTACTTTTCGGTCTAAAAAAGGCTGATGTGATAGAGGTTAAACATGCATGAAAATGAGTGATAGAACCAAACTGTTTTGAGAGCTAGAAACTATGGTTAGATAGCTGCTCTATTTGTGTTGAACTCTTGGTAATTCTGTTATTTTTTCCATAACTACATATTATTCATTACAATTAATTAGAAAATAGTAAGTAATAATTCATTTTTTTCAAACTTATGTAGAAAAAACAATAAACAGGTTACAGAGGTTGGAGGAGACGAAGCAGACACACATATGCACTCACTCAGACAACACACCGGCCCAAACCACTCTCCGACCCCACACCTCCTGCTTTGTGCTGAGGACATGACTCTCTTTCTTCCGTCTACTTTCACAATTGATTTATTTTTCAAAATTTTAGTTTCAAAGAGTCTTGCACATTGATTTAAAGCAGTTCTAACTTTAGGCACATAAATTCACAATATTCAAAAGATAAAATCATGCACTCGTTAGATTCTTCCAACTGCTGAACTGTTGCACCCTGACCGTCTACTTGCTAAAACAAGACAGTAAAGTTCGCTATGTTTTCCCACGTGTATTATCCGTAATGGTTGGGTTTTTCCTGTCTCGTGGGGACATATGGCAGCTCCAAACCAGCAGCTCTCTCTGTCAAAGTGTGTCAGTCTTTGGACCAACTCCTTTGTGGTTACTTGCATCTGTAATTATCAGCACATGTCCAAAACACTGGATTTTCTATTTTATTCTCCTCCTAAGCTTTTGTGCTAGCACGTTCTTTGCACTGCCTTCACAATATGACGACTTTTAAGAGCCGCTTTAAGATTAGAGGGCTGTGTGCATGTGTGCAGTGGTGTGTGAATCCCATTATCATAATTTACAACCAATAAAAAAAGCCAGAAATATGCAGCATTGATGGTTCTGATTACCATTTGCTCTTTCGGCGTAGAAAAAAAGCTCAAAACCTCAACAAAGGCGGCACATATGGAGGAAGTGGAGCACAGAAAGTTGGTTCAGAACGCGGATATGCATTTCATTTGACTTCTTTAGTGTGGTTTACGATTCTTAATGAAAGTAAACACTGTTAGAGTATATTCACCAAGCTGAAGGCCAAGTCTTACGCTGGGTGAGTGGCAATGGCAGAGAAATTAGTTTATAAACACATGGGAGAAAATTTGTGTTCAATTATCAAATCTTTGTTGGAGATTTGGGGGAAATTAGGAACAGGGTTATTATTGAAACCGGATGCGTCATTATAGCTCAGTGTTTTAGCTTTGAGTCTCACTGCTTAATGTAAAAGTATGAAAGATTTTTTTGTTTGCCTTGAATTTTTTAATGGCAATTATTTAATTTTGAAATTTTGATCACATTGAAATAAAAAATTTAAGATGGAAAAATAATTCAAGCTAATTTAAAATTCAATCTTTTGACTCAAATCAATCTTCCATATGTTCGGCCGTATTTCAAATTGGTGCTCAGATAATTCACTGATATTTGATGGAAATATCTGGTAGTAACATAAGAAAAACATAAAACCAATGCATCGATTGGTGTGAAAAACATCGACGTAGACAAATGTTTTTATATTTTGAAATGGCATGAATTTGACAAGAGCTGTACGTGCAAATTCACTTATAGGGTCTGCTACCGGCTTTTTTACCCGTTTTTCTGTTCAAAAATCTGAATTCTTACGTTTGATTGGCTCTTCTGGATGAAAATACTAAGCTGAGTAAAGTCACTAAAGAGGGAAATGTAAATCCATACAGCACCATTCATTTATAAGTCTACTATTTGTTGTCAAAGCCCAATTATACATTCAGTTAAACACAGACCCCAGGCACCAGCTTTACCCTCCTTTGTATCTACCAAGGAAAATGTAAGCAGAGGTTTGTGATGGATTTTTCTGTGCATTAGATTGTTCCCACTTGTGAGCCATGGGAGGCCAACACTTGAAGAATGTGGAAAAAAAAAATCTATATTTATATTTAGATACATCTAATCGAATCAATTCTAATCAATGACTGATTTTAAGTGATATTATACACATGGCCATGCTACTTGATCATATCCACTACTATAAAAAGCAGAAAGTAATGAACCCTTTATATTGCTTATGCAAGAATCACTATTCATTTCCTCAATCATATAAAACACTGTGTTTAAAAAAGATAGACACAAGTGGGAAGAAAACTTGGCTATACCCAACTTTTCAATACACAAGCGTGCAAAGTTTACCTATGAATCCAGTCCTCTCCCTCTCACCTTTCCACTTTCACTCTTAAAGCATAATTGATGACCCATTGTTGTTTAGTTTGCCCTAACACTAATATATGTTTAGTGATGGAGCGACTGCGGCTGCCTTCGTCTTGTCTGCTGGGTCGCACACATCCACCCAGGGCAGCGTGAACTCCAAATATTTACTTAAGTCGGGGCATTGGGAGCTGTACTTGGTCATTAGCCTGTTAATGTTCATAAACAGAGAGGATATAACAGTCAACGCAGTGTCCCAGGGCTCCATTCTCACCGCTGTCCTCCTCTTCAGATTGGATTTATATGAACTATGGGACATGCAGACAGACCTGTGCACTGTGTACTTATGGGATCCAAGCTGAAATGTTTCTAGTAGCTCAGTGTAAACAGATCCTGCCGCTGGCTCCCGTTCGCTGCTAACCTCAACCTGTGTTTCTCAAACATTTATTTTTGAGGACGGACAGTTTCAGAGGCCAAATGACCTCTCGGAGTGGTTTATTTTTGCAGATGCTTGCAAGTCTAACGGGTTTTAAGAGATCGAGAAGAGGGCTGTTAAAGGTGGTGTCAGAAATGTCTCGTGTATTTCACTCCTTTCTTTTTAAAACAAATCTCATACGGAGAAACACACACACACACACACACAACAGTGAACAAAACAAAATATACAGGCTACATTTGACATTTATGGATCTCAAATAAAGGTATCTTGCATCTCTAGACCCGTTCTGTTCTAGAAATTGATAGTGCTTCTTTGTGTTATTTTTATTTTACCATTATTCAACTAGGAACGTCACACTGAGATTTAAGAATCTATATTTCAGGGAGTCCTGGTCCCAGAGAGAGAAGGGGGAGTTAGTTCAGCTGTTTGGCAGTGAGATAGTGAATGAGAGGGGTTCCATTATGTAGCAACCAAGGTTTCTTGGGTTTTACAAAGATGAATTTAACAGAGCTAAGAATTTCACAAGACAAAACAAGGGACAAATAATTGAAAATCACCTTACAAAAGTACAATGTATTACATTTTTAAGTACAACCCCAGACCCCCAGATCTTTTGAGTGTAGTCTTAATTGAGGCCTGCAAATTATCTGATTTATTTAGACTTCAATCTCTTCAAATAGCATTCACCATTATAGATTATAGATTGACATGTAGCGATGGTCTACTTTTGTATTTGGGGCTTGTGGATGTCGTCACAACTGAAGACTGAAGACTGGTAGTTGAAGAAGGATGGTGAAGTGTCCTGCTCAAAGGCTCAAAATTATCTGTTCTTCAACCAGAAAAACACAAATCATAATTTATGTTCACACGGACTAAAATGAATGGATGTTGCATTACATTTAGACATTTAGTTTCCAAAAAAACTCTTTTGAATTTAAATACAGTCATTTAAACAACTGCTTTTGTTGTGGTTTTAGCCTCGTCATGTGACCAGGAGCAGCAGTCTGCACAGGAGGAGGCGCGGCAGCACAAGAACGATGCAGTGTTTGTCCCGGACTGCGCTCTGGGAGGACTCTACAAACCAGTGCAGTGTCACCCGTCCACTGGCTACTGCTGGTGTGTGCTGGTGGACACGGGACGGCCCATCCCAGGGACCTCCACCAGGTCAGGACGTGTCTGTAATGACGCCCACTCTACTTTTGACTTTACTCTTCAAAGTCACAGAAAGTTTGGCTGTACATTTTCTGTACATTTGGTCCTGAGCTGGCTTGGGTTTGTTAACATGTCATTGATCATTTGACTTGAAAGACTCGCTGTTGACATAACATATGGCCACCATTCTCCTTAATGTATGATGTCAAATTTTTCTATTTATCAAGACAAAACAAAGAGTTATGATTTTCAGATTATTTGAAAAATAAATGCCTTGTCAAGAGTGAAACACAGGATGCCATATACATTTCATCATTCAATTCCACTGAGGTTAATTTTTCACAAAAAAACGACTTTGCTTTGAGGTTTGTTTTCATGGAAGTTTTTTGTCTACTTTTTACCATTGTGTTTAACGTTGTAATTTAAACTATAACATCTTCATATAGAAAGGCTGATCTCTTTGTCCCCAGAGAAGTACCCCAAGTTTCCAAAATGAGTCCCCCTTGAACCAACTCTCTTTGAAGGTATCTCATTGAGGTTTTAAGTATAAATTATGGCTTCGAACCCAATTTTATAGGGCAGCCATTCCCAAACTCAGTAACACCGAGGCCCCCTTAAAAATCTGAAGGGCCTGCGTGGCCCCCCAAAATAATAACCAAGAAGACAACATTAAGAATAGGCTCTTCTGGTTATTTTATTTTGGGGAAATAGCCTCTGCTACAAACATTGTAATACAAAAATGATTACAGTGGATTATTCAAGTCAAATAATGAACACAAATATTTTAATATTACAAACAAAAGATTATATATTTAACATTAAATAATTATATATATATATATATATATATATATATATATATATATATATATTTTTATGACCTCCCGCGGCCCCCCTGCAGTACCCTCGCGGCCCACCAGGGGGCCGCGGACCCCACTTTGGGAGACACTGTTATAGGGTAATTAATACATAAAGTTACATATTCATTTCCTTGTCTCCTGACAGTAGCTCAGGGATCAGAGGTCAGAGAGAGTGGACTCTTCTCTTCTCTTCTCATCTGCTGCAGATCTCATTAGCGAGGCTCCAGGCCCAGGCCCAGAGCCTAGAACCAGACAGTACCACAGCACACATAACATACAAGTGGTGACTATCTCTCTTTAGTTTCTTTTCCCTGGGATCTTTTGTGGCCCTGTCGATCTGCCTTACCCTCTGCTGTCCCATGCTGTCTAGCCTCTTCCTGCATCCGTATCAGAAGCGTCGACAGTCTGGCCAGAAGTAAATCCCTCTGTGACTCTCTCTAGACACCAGATTATCACATTCATTTATTGTATTGGGTTGAATGTAGCAAAAGAGGGATAGGTCCAGCTCCCAGATCTCATTCAATGCTTAATAAGTTTAATTCAATGTGTGGGGATGTGTGGGAACTTTAGTCAGTTTCCTCCTTTTGAAACAGATGTGTGACGTCACAAAGACTGTCGCATTTGTATGAAGTGATCCGAGTTCATACAAATGCAACTCGGATTCGTATACAAATAGGCAAAGCACTATCATCCATGGAGAAAGCAGACTTCTGATCACCCCAAACTAAAATTAAACTTAAGATTTGTGTTTTGTTGACTGGAAATTACCGACATAGTTCTTCTTCTGTCGCAGATATGAGCAGCCAAAATGTGACGGTAACGCCAGAGCACATCCAACCAAACCCAAAGATCACTACAGGAGCCGGCATCTCCAAGGTAAGACTCAGCTTCAGGCCATTTAAGGCTTGGTTATTTCATTATTCATACTTATTCTGCATTACTCAACATTTCTATTGTAAATTAAGACTTTTCTTCTGTAAACAAAAATAGATGACTGCACACTGTGTTAACCTAATTAAACACTAAAGCACTAGTTGCTTGCCAACTTGCCCCATTATACTTTGGACAAAATGCTGCTACTTAATTTAATAAGGGCATCACACAACACTTTACTTTTTTGTCTGAAAAAACATATTTCTCAAGCGGTGCTAGTGTATAAACTGTATGCCATGTATGCATTATGCCAAAGTTTGTGTCAATCTATTTTGTGTTCATACCTGCATGGGAAAATCATCACAAAAGAAGCTCAGAAGCTCAGCAGCGCAGGGCCTGGTTAGTGCTGTGATGTGAGACCGATGGGAACAACAGGCAACAGAGACAGGCGCAGTTGTTTAGTGCCAAACTGTTATGTCCTTAGGCAAGACACTTCTCCCACATTGCACATATACGTCTGATGTGTGAGTGACCAATGGTGGTGGTAAGAGGGGCCAATGACGCAGATTAGTTGCCTCGTTTCTATCATTCTACCCCAGGGCACTTGTGGCTGCAGTAGAAGTTTATCACCACCAGAGTAAATGCATAAGTGTGATGCATCGTTGAGTGTCCCATAAATGTCTTTATTAGTATGATAAGTTATGTTGAGCTCATTCTTTATAAGTCAGTATTTACTTCGAGTAACTGATTTTCTGATGCTCAGAGAGTTTAGGTAGAATAGTTAAATAGTTACAATAGTTAAAAGCTTGTATTGTATTCTTAACTTTCTGAATACAATTCCTTGAAGGGTTCTCTGAGACTGAACGGCTGCTGAGTGACAGTATTAAGTTGTTCATTTGCTTTGCTTTAGCCTAGCGTACATCGACAGAGTAACTGGAGACAACTAGTTGCAAGGCGGCTTTTGGCAACTGAGAGTAGATGATGGAGATGATCAGTTGCCGAAATCGGTCGATTTGAGCGCTCATACAACTGGAGATGAACAGTCAATCTCCGGATTCAGTCAGTTGCCCGTGTTCTATTTTTCTACAACTAGTTGTGCTCAGATCCGGAGATATGACCCGATGTGCGCGCTCCAACATGTGTGTGTCAGAAAACACACTGTCGTTGAGGCCAGTTGCTGTCGATGTACGCGCTGTTATTCCCGAGACTGGCCTGCTACTAGGAGTTGCCCGTTTTCGCCACATTGTCGATGTGTGCGGGGCAGCAACTCATAGGCGACGGATATAATAAGTTGCCAGTCCGATGTACGCTAGGCTTTAGGGGCCTGGTGTACATTTATTTAACATAGACTACAGGTTTTGGTAGAGATTTAAAGTTTTCCAGAATCTTTGTCACTGGCTAAAGAGAATGACTGATCAAAGATGAAGGATAGAAAGAGAAACAGCAGGACGACAGCTGAAGATAATGGATGAGAGGAAGATAGGGACAGGTGCTGACGGACGGACTGACAGCAGCACTGATAACTCCACGGTGGGTGGGAGTTACAGATGTGTAGAGGCAACGCAGGTGTCAAGTTTGGATTGTTTTAAGTTCTAATATCATCTCATCCAATGCATGTTGGAAAAGCTGCCTTATTATGCTTTAACGAAAAATTAATGTATATTGTTTATCACCATCCATCTGCCTTAGTTTTTCATACATTCTTGGCTTAAAGATAAAGTCAGTTATTTTTTTCCAAGCGCTTTTCTTTTTTTAATATTGTGGGAAAACGTCCCTAAACCCTAAAAGTAGTCAAGTTATCATGTGTTTTCAAATAGTAATGGAATTGACCAGATGTCTATAGTTCCCAAAAAATAATAAAATATATTTTGTAGTGGACCGATAGAAATAAACCAATGGGATGCATTCACCCCAATCCGTGTATCATTCGTTCTTTTGATTTTCTAAATAAAACCAACATTGAAAAAACAAATAACGAGGGAGGTTTTTGATTCTCAATATTTGAATTTAATCAAAAACATCCCTTGTTATTCGTTTTTTCAATGTTGGTTTTATTTAGAAAATCAAAAGAACGAATGATACACGGATTCACCCCCTTCACCCTCCTGTTTCTCGCGAGTGCACCAGAGTTATCGGATTATTTCCTAAAACCTTAAATGGCTGAACAGTAAATGCAAATTTCACGTTTGCCACCTACTCTCCCTGCTGTGACAAAGAAAATAAAATGCTGGATGTTTGGTTTGGTGGAGACGCGAGGGGAGGGGGGAGTGGTTTTGAGTTGGTGCTACGGCTAATCCAACAAAATCGGTTACAGCATCTTTAAAGTTGGGGTACCTAACTTTTGTTCCACATTAATAATACTTTTTGTTCGTCCCAACAGAAAGAGTATTGTTAAAGTATCAGTCTGCAAACAAATGAGACAAAAACATACTGTATTCTTCTTATTTAAAAACATTGTATATTTTGTATACTTTTCCATCACTTTTTGACATTTTGCGCTGGGAGCTGATTGGCACTTTTCTGTTTAAAAAGTGGATCCAAATATAGATCCCACAGACAATACATGCATCAGAGTTTTGAGAGCAAGGAACTTGTTAGATTTTATAAGATAAGATAGACATTGATCTAATAGAGACCTGATAAAGAAAATAATTTGAATGTTTTTAGGTCTAGGTTTTTTGTTTGAATTAAAACAGAAAATCTGCGTCCACAAATATCTTCAATGACATCAGTCTTTTACCATGAAGTAATTTGGTAATTTGTAGTTGATTGAAATGAGCTGAATCACAGGGTAAATGAGAGTGAGGTTGTTGCTCACGGTTGTGGGATTGCGTCTGTGGTGGAACCGTACAGCTGTAGTCTGACCACACAAACAGACCTCAGTGCGACTCACAATCATTACAAACTGATAGTTCCTATATTTACTTAAAGAAATCACTTCAACCACTTGAAAGTACTCGGGGGAAGAAAAAAAGACTTCTACAGGGTGAGCCAGGACTGGACCATGACTGAAACAGGACTGAACCAGGACTGAGCCAGGACTGAAGCAGGACTGAGCCAGGACTGAAGCAGGACTGAAGCAGGACTGAAGCAGGACTGAAGCAGGACTGAACCAGGACTGAACCAGGACTGGACCAGGACAGAAGCAGGAATGAAGCAGGGGTGAGCCAGGACTCAACCAGGACTGGACAAGGGCCAAGCCAGACTGAGCCAGGACTGAGGCCAGGACTGAGCCAGGATTGAGCCAGGGCTGAGCCAGGACTGAGCCAGGACTGAGCCAGGATTGAACCAGGGCTGAGTCTGGACTGAACCAGGATTCAGTTCAATGTAGAAATCAGACAGACATGACAATAAATGGAGCAGCGCATGTTTCTGCTGCTGCTGTTATTGCAAAGACATTGAGCAGAAATCCACTGAGGCCATTGCACTTTGTTAAGCACTTGTAAAAGATGTCTCCTCTAAAAGACCCAAACTTTGAGCAGTTAGATGGACAAACTTAATGCATGTAGTGTGACATTCTACATTTATGCAAAAAAAGTGCAGCTGCAGGTCAAAGAGGACATAACGTGCAAAATGGACTTCCCAGAGATTTGAGTTATATTTTTATGATTTATATTCTACCGAAGCTGAGACGTCTTTTCTGACCACCAGCACACACCCACTGTTACTTTTTTTCTCTTCTCTTCTGACTCTATGATACACAGATGATTGGCCTTTTTGCTCAAAGGAAAATAAATCCCGGTTCAATAACTTCAACAGCCTTGTCTGACGTGGCGACATTTCCTCATGGAATAATGATAATGATTTTAACACAAACTTTTGTGTCGATGCCCTTTCACACGCAGCCACATTTCTTTCGTTTGACTTCATAAAATCACTCAGCCATCAGTACATTTTTATTGGTCAAAGAATGATGGGACTTTCCTTAACCAAAACAGTACTTTGGTTGCATGCACAATTTGGTGACTTGCTTCTACATGACTTTGCACAAAAAGCATTCGTCACTTTTAGAATACCAAAGCACCACTGCAGAACAATTAGCTCCTGAAAGCCCATGAAATAGACATTTGAAATGGAGAAAAATAGACAAAACAAACTCTTGCGACTTGTTTTTCTTTATGGGATCTGCGTCAGTGGCTGTAAACCCTTTCACTGCACGTCCTGGGATAATTACAAATGTTGCCTTCAGGTTGCTGCAGCCCATTTGCCGTAGAAGCGCTGGTGTTGAGAGGTTTATGGTGCAAGAGGCAGGGGAGGAGCGCGACAGGAGGGGGGAGAGAGGGGGACAGGCCAGGGGTGAGGGAGCTGAGGCCCCGAGTGCTGACAGGACTCAGCCCCATGTGGCTCCATAGAAAAACACTGGACCTTATTGACAGTAGCAGACATACACTTAGGGCCAACTGCTCACACCACATAGGTCAACAATCATTTGACTAATGGCTTATGTGAGAGAAAGTCCAAACATCAAGTCAATTTAGGTTGGTTGGACCTGATTTTCATATCGTTTTTTACTTAGGTCAAGCATTAAATCACCAGATTGCATGTGAGGAATATTGTTGAATTCAAAACGTTGGCAGCAATGTTTGGATCTCATGCCAGTTTACTGCTACCCCAAAAGTGAAATTGGATTTATTTCTGGCCTTGATGCAATGGCCGTGGTCCCTTTCACTTTATTACTTACTCAGCTCAGTAATCATCAGTGCTCTCATAAATCTTTTTGTGATTTTATGTTTAAACCAGTGACTAATGCTACGTCTAAATCTACTGTGATTGTAAAGGGTGGGTGGTTTTCCTGTTTTCCAGCGTCATCAAGCTAAGTTGGTGAAAAAACTAGAAATTGGTTGGTCCAGACTCCAGAGTATTTTCAAAGAATGTACTTAAGGTACATTACGTTTGTTGTACTTAAGTGATTGGCGGTTAAGTTGGTGTTTTGAGTCGACTTTGTTAGAATAATTATGTGAATGGATGTAGACGAAGAAGTAAAGATGTAAATGAAAGAATAACTATCACCCTCTGTTCGTGCAGACTTAGCTGTACGGTTTGCCTTTGTTTACATACTTCCTTTTGCACTTTAAATGGTTGAAGCTGAAGATGATCCACCCACAGTGACACCAGGACAGGAGGATTTTACAGCTGAACGGGAAAATGTCCAGACTTCCTCTGACTGACAGCAGGACCCTGCCCTGGGGCCCAAGACGTCCAGACCAGACAGACCCTCTCAAACACTACCTTTCAGGAGGAACTATCTATTGTTGTACCTGGACGCCTTTGTCCTCTGAAACTGTCACGATAAACGCAAATAGGCATGTTTCCAGTAGTTCTGGTTCCTTTAGAGCAGGGGTGATGAACATACAGTTGATTTATTATTACTAGGCAATGCAAGGCAAGTTTATTTGTATAGCACAATTCATAGGCATCTCAAATTGCTGAACAAAACAAGATAGAGAGTCACAAAACTGGAAAGCATTGATGATAACTGTTCATAAGCACTCTGCATCGAAAGTGATGGAACCTGAGCTGTCATGTAAAGAAGAATTGGAAAGAATCTCTAGTATTAACTCAAGGAGGCTTGAAAATACAGTGATGTATTTATATACTTTCTCTTTGTCTCCCATTTTTTTGGTCTTTCATGGGAAAAAAAAAGTAAATACAAATTTAATGCAACAAAGGTTGTAAAGTAGTAATTAATGAAGCATGAGCCATTTCCAAACTTCAGACCCGGTTTTTAAGACTGGGACCCGATGACATGTTGACACAGGACTTGCATCGTGAAAGCTCTGTGAACTGTTTGGACCCGTGTCAGCTTTTCACCACGGGGAAGATGGGAACATATTAAAAGAAATGGTTAAAACAAATTCCCCACTTTCTGAACAAACATTCAAAAGTCAACACATGAGCTTCCAGGAGCAGAGGAAATTACATTACAATGGATTGACAGTGGAGCAAAATCAACGCTATTCAAATATTTTACAAGGACAACTTTATGTAGGGAAGAACAGCACATGCAACAGCCCCAAACTTAGACGATAAAAGCTTTACGCACCTCCATGGTTTGTTCCGCTGTCATTATCCTAAGTCTTGTCCCTCTTCACCTGACCCACATCAAAGCAACGGCCTATAAAACCGTTTAGTGTGTCCCAGCAAAATGTGTAGGGTACAAGGAGGGTCAATAGCTGCGTCGTTATGACCCACCAGCCCGTGTTGCTCAGTCTCAAAGGAACAAAAAGTTTCTGCTGATCCATTGTTAAAGGTATATAGGAGGATTTTTTTACTTCCGGGTAGATCATCAAGACTATTGGCCCTCATAATCATTCTGGTGATATGTGCTCATCAAATAGGACCAGAGACTTTTTTCAAAAAGTGGAGAAGCAGTTCTTTCCTAAAATTTTGAAAAAATCCTCATATATACCTTTAACAAAAAAGTAAGGTTCCACACCAGTACAATCAAAAGTACTTACAATTGACAAGTATGGTAAAAATGTGTTTTGAATGAACTGAATAGAAACAAGAGTGAAGTATTTATGTATTCTTCTCTGCGTTTGGACATGCTGAGGTACCATAAACAAGATAAGATGACAAAGGCAAATTAAAGTGGCATGAACAAATCTGAAAACCTCAATCAGTGGCCACTTGTCTGATCTTTTGATAAGACTTTGGTTGTATTTTAAGTCTAAGTGCTTTTTCCGTAAATAACACGAAGCATCGCATGATATGACACTATCACGAAATGAGATGACTATACTCAAAGTGATTAACAGTTCAAAACAATATTATATCTTTTGTAAGGGATCCTCAGTCCTCAGGAGGCTGCGTGAAAGTAGAAACTCATGAATACACAAGATGGCTGAAATATCAACTTTTGCTGTCCATTTATTTTTTGACAACTCAAAAACATTTTCAGGCACTTGAGGGGGAAAAAAGGTCAAAATAAGGTCTGAAAAAGGAAATGGCATTAGCTTAAGCTTATAGAAGCCTACCCTTTCGTATATGTTATACTTAAACAGCTGCTATCACACAATCAAAATCAAAAGTCCTATCTTAATCGCAAGGTTTTTGACTGGTAGGCGGAAAAAACCTTGTGTATCCCAAATTTTTTGTATATTTTTTGCAACCATTCTCATTATTCATGTCTGCAAACCTGTTCAAATCCCATATTTTAATTTTGGTTTCCCATTGATTAAAACACACTCACACACAATTCTGGTCTCAAATAATGATTAAACCATTTTCTCTCTGACCACTATGTGCGCGACCACACATTTTCTGCAGACAAAAACATTTTCTCTCCATGAATTACAATTGCGCTGCAGTCTAGACCAATTAAGCCCGAGACGTTTGGCAAGGCACCATTTTGTCCATTAACAGGTGGGGTGGATATTTTACTGGGCAGAGTTTTAAGCAGCCATACTCACACCTAAACACGGTGTTCTCATAATAATGTAATGAGGAGTTTGGACATGTGACTGGGGTTCTATTGGAAGCACAGTCCACACCTGTTACTGTGGGCAAAGCTGCTATTATCTGTGCAGAAGAGAGAATCTGGCCCCTCAGGCTGTGGCCATAAAAAAACGCTGGAGAATTTATCCTCCACGGGCATAAGCTGTGAGAAACCAAGAATCTCTCTCTCTCTCTCTCTCTCTCTCTTCGGCCTCAAGCTCCCACCTCCTCAAACTCTCCTAAAAATATACGGCCTAAACCAACAAGTACTATCATTAGTCATTCCACTCCAGTTGTCCATCAATTTGATTTTTCCCCCCGTCATTTGGCTTGCAATAATGCGCCAGTGTTGGTTTTACTTGGGATTTTAATGATAGAGTTTCCTCTTGTTTAGCTAACATTTGCAAAGTCTTAATCATCTTCTGTCTGCTGCTGGACTGGCAAAGCAAAGTTGCACCTACTGAAGTCATGTCTGTCAAAAGTGCTAAGTCCATTTGGTTTAAGAGCGTTTCAAAGTAATACGTAGGTGGCTTAAATGTTCGGCCTCAGAGCTGGAATCGGGAAATAGGGGCGGAGGGAGACTTAAAAGTAAAATGGAGAGGATCAGATATGATTGACTGCTGTGAATGTTGTGCTAGAGACACAGAAACTCACTCGCTTTTGTCATTATTGATCTGACTATACATGAGAAATACATTAGAAATACATTGAAACCAGCTAAATTAGATTATTTGGATGAAAATGAATTTATCAAGTGAATACAGTTAAAATAGCATTCAAAGGTTTTTTCCCTTTTAGTGATTGACCATAAAATGTGAAACCAATATAGGATACATGCAGTATATACTATACATATTAGATTATTATGGTTTTCATGGTTTTGTTTGGGGTTTTTACAAGCTGTGAGCAAATTATCAACATTATACCACACATGAAAGCTTACATTAGTTTTGCATTGTACATTGAATAACAGAAGTACGTGATGGACTTTTGGAAGATTTTTCGGAGTTTCTCCTCCAACTGAACTTTTTAGGATATAGGCAAGGCGAGTTTATTTGTGTAGCCCAATTCAAACACAGGGAAACTCAAAGTGTGGCACAAAAACAAGAGAGAAAGCGTTGAATATAGTGTTTGAATACATTTGAACAGTGGACCTTCATATCACATATTTCTCACTTTTATTAGGTGCAGACTTCACGTTGCCAGTTCTCGGGCGTCTGGTGTGATTGACAGCTGGACTTCCCACTGCACACAGCTCTTTACGAGACAAAATAAAACACACGTCAGGTTCAGTTGTGTTGTCTTTATGTGCAGCAGCACTACATTTACATGACGTCCCTCCCCAGACATTTACTGGGCCACCTATGACGGCTGCTTTCTGCTCTTTCTACTGCCTTGCTGTTGGCTGTGGCATCAGTGCAGCGGATGCAGTTATGTGGGAGACAAGATGGGGGATGTGCACTCTAAAGAACAGTGTTTCTTGGTGGTGGGTCCAGAAAATTATACTGAAAAAGTGTAAAAGAGATTTTTTTTTTTAAATGATTAGTGGTCACTATCTGTTGTGAAGGGCTTCATAGATACAAGTTGATTATTCAATCATTTCAGTTACAGTGCTGAGTTTGGATTTTATAATGTGTTATTCAACTAAACATTATATGATAAGACTTAAAAAAAATACAATTTATTAAACAGATTTTCTTTCATGCGGGTACATTTCACATCCCTTCATAGTCTCAATATAACTTGAAATGGCCAAATCTCCTCCTTATGGACCAATGGCTCCATGTGTTTTCTATCATTGCATTTCTTGTGTTTGAATTTTGATTCTCTGATCTGTGTTGGCGAATTCAACGGTTTTTTAAAGTCCTCCAAGATAACTTCGGTTGTGTTTTGAACTTTGTTTTGAAGGACCTAATAGAACTGTGAATAAATCTGCTTATTCCCAATGTTTGCTCAGTAATGTTCTTGTGTAAATGCTAACCTCCTCTGCTGATACATCAGTAGCTTCATCCCGCTCATGTGGTCTCTGGTCCGCAGGCTGTCCCGGGGCAAAGAAAACAGAGTTCCTGACGAGTGTTCTGGACGCGCTGTCGACAGACATGGTGCACGCCGTCACGGACCCAGCGTCTGCCGGGAGGTACGTCCCTTGAAATGAAACTCTTTTCTCATTTATGATGTGTAATGCTGACTGCAGAATAGAAGCGCACAGCAGCTGGGACTTATAGAAACACTGTGATGGCAAATTATACAAGATGTATAATCAAAAATATCATCGCTCTGTGTCTGCCTGGAATTTACACTTTGTAGACAATACAGATCAAGTCATGTGTAATTCTTAGATTTAAAAAGAGCATTTTCTTATTTTGTATTCCATACATGTATTTGCTGTTTACATTTAAAGTTAACAAGACTCACTGTACATTTACACGCTATAAAGTCCATCTAACCAGTTTTCAGATCAGTTCTATCACTAGTTTTCATATGCATGTATTATTTGGCCTCCGTCACATTTTTAGATCTTTTTTTTTCATACAGAAAAAAATAAAATAAAACAGAGGACCACTCTTTCACAGTTAATTAGCTCAAGTGAGTCACAGGAGTCTTTCTGATATGTTTGCAAAATATCACAAGTTTTTGAGATGAAAACCGCATGTTGTGGTCTGATTTGTTCACAGCCTTTTTTTTAAAGATTCTTTGTCAGGGCCAACAATACAGTATGTTATTAATTAAAGAAAAAAGTGACCCCAGTCCTAACTCTGACAAACAATAGAACTATGGTTAGTGCAGACATTTCTCAAAACAGCATGATCAATACTTTCCGTAAAAGGATCCCTCAGGAAAAAAATACAAAGCAATATGTATGTATAGTTGTTGAATTGTAAAAAGCTTTCCCATGTTTCCCTATTTTCCCTGCATTTCCATCAAATAGAATAATTCATAACCATATGATGACTAAGTGTGGAGTAGAGAATAAAACTAGCATTCAAACACCAAAAATACGAAGATCTTTTCAGTCTCATTCAAACATTTCCACCAACATCAAACAAACCAATGACCTGTGTTGCAGGATGGCTGAGCCGGACCCGAGCCACACCCTGGAGGAGCGCGTGGTGCACTGGTATTTCAGTCAGCTCGACAAAAACTCCAGCGGCGACATCGGCAAGAAGGAGATCAAACCTTTCAAACGCTTTCTGCGCAAAAAATCCAAACCCAAGAAGTGCGTCAAGAAGTTTGTGGAGTACTGTGACATCAGCAACGACAAGGCTCTATCCCTGCAGGAGCTGATGGGCTGCCTGGGCGTCACCAAGGAGGACGGTGAGCGACGCTTTATTGTTTACAGAAGAACATGTGAGCACTATGTATTTATGAGGACTATAAAATCTCAATCACAAACTCCACCCACAAAACCCTCGCCATAATGAACTGATCCTAAACCTCAACAAAACATGATTGTGGCTCTAAATCACAAATTCAAACAACAAAATGGGATTAATTTTCTCTTGGACGAGATACCAAGATTTTTCTGAGTCTTCTATACAGACCATAATATAACTGACTTTTATAATTAGCTTACCCAAAAGTTTATTTTAGATTCTTGAGTGAAGCTGGTGGAAGGTTCAAAAAAATGTCTTTGTTTTGATTTGTTTTGCCTGGAATATCCCACAATACAAGATTTAAAATAAAAAGTTTAGGTTTTTGAGTAGTATAATAAAGTAGGGAAGGTGTATAAAGTACACCTTAAAAGTGTGATAAGTACAATAAGATTAAATGTTTCATAGTTTTGTATCATACTGAGGAAAATTCCAACCTAAGATAGAACAATAACAACAGACAAACCCCTTCAGAAAAGTTGTGCAATGCCACTTTAATAATTACATGCCTAGAAATAACCATTTAGAAGCTGTCATTGGTATAAAATGTGAAAAGAAAGGTATTGCCGACAACACAACATGTTAACACTTGGGTCTCTTCTGATAAACGTGTATAGTCAGAATTCTTTCGTGGTTTTAAAGTATTGATTGTATGAGTTTTTATACAAATATAAAAGAGAAATCTAATCGCTGGAGGTTGATAAGTGACAGTGAACATCTTCCCGGCCTCCAAACCAGGAGGACGTGAGGACAAATCTAATGTCTGTTTAAAAGCCTCGTCCTGAAGCAGCAAATTAACATACTTTGTTTTATTTATGACCTGTATTATGTGTTCTTTTGCAGCGGCCAAAACAGGCGACGGCTTGCCCTCCAGTAAACTAGTACGTAAACATCTCCTCTTACGCACTCGCTAATCCTCATTAATGGCCATAAAACCAGACAGTGGCACTTTTCAGAATTACTTGTTTTTACCCTGAATAATGATTCTCAGACAGAAACTCAGGCTCATTAAAAGCATTTGTAATTTCTACATTGTGCATAAGCTTCATTCACTAAACTTGTATTTATCATGTGTACCTTATAGACGTATTTATCGAACTATTCATTCATATCATTTTTTTGTCCCTAGAATCCTTTGAGAAAACAAGGCTGAGCCGCTGTGACTGCCTCCTGCAACAGTGGAAACCATAGTATTTGCACTTTGTACTTTAAAAGAAATGTAAATTCACTTTGTAGAAATAAGGTATTTAAACAGACTGCTGAATCTGTGAATGATGTAGTTAGCTTTTTATGTCCTGACAAATTATTTAACACATACAATGTATGTGTCTTTGTGTTTCTAAAAGTATTCTTGTACAAGTTGTTCATGTTTGCTGTATTCTGTATCCTGTTGATGTTGATGTAGTGTTTGCTCCACAGATAATAATGTCCTGACTCTAGCATCTCCCTGTGCTTTGTACAGCAGTTTACAACCCTTTAATCAGAGCGGATCATACAACATGTCCACATGTATTTGTGTCATTAGAAATAAACTCTCTTTTATACATGTGTGTGTCTTTGCGTCTTTAAGGTGATGCATTAAACTGTGTAATGCCTCAGATTCTATCTAATCTAATTAGTGAGAGATTAGCTGCTAATATCCCTCATAACATGTTTCTGTCTTTAATAAAGCACCTTGTTCTGAGCTGGAGCTTACTCATAAGTCTTACTCAGGTCTTACTCATACATAGCAAAGTCTGTGTATCATCTCTCTCTGACAGCGGCTGCCAGCTCCTCAGGCCACACTTCTATGGGAAAGATGAACGATACTTACATCTATGTCACACATTTGCACTTCCACTGAAGACAGACAAATGGACTGATCTCTGCAGTTCGAGGGTTTACCAGCCGGAGCGGGGTCTATAGGAACTGCAGCACAAGTCTTTGGCTGTACAGGAAAGCAGCTGAATGGAAGCTTTCTGCAAGAACAACATCATCTCTGGGCGGCCTCCTCATCACACTACTGTACATTGTTCAGGCTGATTATGGACTTAAAAGAAAATCTGTGGCTTTTCACACTGAGTTCCCTATAGCAGCGCTGACCTGAGACTGACCCGCTTACTCAGGCTTAGCCCTTAATTTATGATTAACACATTGGTCTCCTTTTTGTGGTATTATCCCACCCATTGGTCTGGTTTTAGCACCCCAGCAGAAGTGAGCGCCGCAGTCGGCCTCAGAAGGTGGATTAAAACAGCTCACCCCTGGCCTTCTTAAGCACCTCAGCGTTCACTGCAGTAGAAAGTTCAGACCAATACATCAGCTTACTCTGATCTGCCGCCACTTGTCTTTCCTCTGCACCACGTGAGTTATGCATACCTGCAATCCACATCATGACATTAAACGCTTTAGATAACGTTTCTTTACTGAAGAGGAACTTTAAACAGGACTGCAACTCAAAGTGATTTACACAAAGAGAGAGTTAAGTTATACTTTATTGTTCCAAATAAAGAAATATGTTTTCTGCATTTGACCCATGATCCCTCCGATGCAACCAGGGCCTCTGTCAGGAGAAGTGGTCGCCCAACTCCAGATGTTGATGCTCGGCTTGTTCAGGACAACCAGAGATGGAGGTTTTTAACTATTGTGCATGTTTTTAGTGGTAACCAGGAGCCAGTGGAGATCCCTTACAACAAGAACATATGAGAGCTTTTTCTAGTCTGGGTCAGAAAGCAGGCATTGTTTATTATGCCTTGTTTCTTTATTTTAATGAAGTTAGAGTTTTTTATTTTTATTTTAGTGTAGTCATTCCTGTTCAGTAACTGGTGATGCAACACTGACATTTCCCCTCTGTGGGACAAATAAAGTATCTCCTAAGCTGCAAAGGATGGACTGATTGAAATGAAATACCTGGAAAGGGCAATAATTTTGGCATCTTTGAAACGATTCCCAGGTTTTCTGAAATGTTAGTCTCATACATGCTCTGGTAAAGATTTAGAAGTTGTATAGCCCCAAATCACAACAGCAGTCATCTCAGAGGACTTCACAAAGTTGTCAATTCGCCAACATAGATCAGAGAATCAAACTGTTTGAATCAAACCGTCCTAACACTTTTGGTCTATAAGATAAGATAAGGGGCAGATGACCACTCTCCATGAACGTTAATAAATATCCTGGATCATCACTGCCCTTAGACCCTCCTGCATCTGCAAGGAACCACTCAGGAATGACACCAATACCTCCAAACTGGAAGAATAACAGCGGCGTTACAATTTTACCCTTTTTTAACTTTAGGTCCAATTGTGATCATTTCAGATGTATGTGATTTTAATGAGAAAGTGAATAATACGACCACAAAATAAGTTGAAAAGATAGCTCAGACTTTCTACGGACTTTGAAAGGTGGATGGAAAGAAGGGCTTTGACCGTTGGAGCAGTGCCTTGTTAGTGATGGGAGAACCACCATTGGATAAAATATACAGAAATCTAAGTAAATGAGACATTGAGGTTGAAGTTGGAACTAATTGGTGGTTGAATTTGTAGACAGCAGTTTTTCCTTCCAGTCATAATAATGATCAATAATAAAGCTGTGGTTTGAGAGAGTCTTGATTTAAAAAACAGCTGCTTCTGTTTTTGAGACCAAATAAAATGTGTTCAATTACAGAACCAGACCGGGAACATTTCAAAGGTTTAGTGGATTTTACAAAGAAATGTTTGCAAACAATTTTGGCACAATTTGAGTTTTTATGATTGAGTCAAGGTCCAAAGAACAGGTTTTTAAATTAGCTTTTGGTCTATTGACTTTCTCCAGAAAACCACAGCGTGCAAACAAGAAATATTAACTTATAAAATGAGATGACAAATTTATTTCCTATGGCAGACAAAGAACTATGGAAAAGTCATTTTGTTTTTGACTTTTTTTTTTTACTGCATAGTTTAAAGTTAGACGCATAAAAAACTTAGTCAATCAAAGTGAAAGTAATCTGTGAATTTACTTTACAGTTGACAGATTTGAAAAACAGCCGTAGCGCGCAGACCTCCGCCAAAAGGCACTGCTCCAGATAACCTCCAAAATCAAATAATTTGTTTGTTACGCATACAACTAAGCAGCCAAGCAAAAGCAGCCAAGTCCCGGCACAGAGAACGACTACAGGAGCAGTTTGGTAACAACGATACTGCTTCTGTCTGGAGGGGCCTACGGGAGATCACCAACTACAAACCCAAAGCCCCCCCCTGTGCTGACGACCACAAGCTAGCTGACGATCTGAACTTATTTTTCAGTCGCTTTGATGCTGCCCCTGACACCTCTCCCTCCCCCACCCCCCACTACTCTAACGACCCACCCATCAGCCCTGCCCCCAGCCTAACAATAGCCGCTAAAGAGATTAAACAACTCTTCCTGAGGCTGCACCCCCGCAAAGCTCCTGGCCCGGACCACGTGTCTCCGGCCACTCTGAGACACTGCGCCAGTGAGCTTACTCCTGTGTTCACGGACATTTTCAACACCTCTCTGCAGTCCTGCCATGTCCCGGCCTGCTTCAAATCCTCCATCATTGTCCCCGTCCCGAAGAAGCCCAGGATCACAGGACTCAATGACTACAGACCTGTAGCACTTACGTCTGTCGTCATGAAGTCATTTGAACGCCTGGTTCTCTCCCATCTCAAGTCCCTCACCTCCCCCCTCCTGGACCCCCCGCAGTTCGCCTACAGAGCCAACAGATCTGTAGACGACGCCATTAACCTGGCCCTCCACCACATCCTACAGCACCTGGACTCCCCGGGGACCTACGCCAGGGTCCTGTTCGTGGACTTCAGCTCTGCCTTCAACACAATCCTGCCATCCCTGCTCCAGGACAAGCTCTCCCAGCTCAACGTGCCCGATTCCTCCTGCAGGTGGATCACTGACTTCCTGACGGACAGGAAGCAGCGAGTGCGTCTGGGGAAGAATGTCTCGGACTCTCGGATTATAAATACAGGAGCCCCACAGGGCTGTGTTCTTTCTCCCCTGCTCTTCTCCCTGTACACCAACCACTGCACCTCCAGCCACGACTCTGTGAAGCTGATCAAGTTCGCGGCGACACCACCCTCATTGGACTCATCTCCAACAACGATGAGTCCGCCTACAGGAGGGAGGTGGACCGGCTGGTGTCCTGGTGCAGTGGTAACAACCTGGAGCTGAACGCCCAGAAGACAGTGGAGATGACTGTGGACTTCAGGAAGAGCTCTGTCCCCCCACCCCCACCCTCCGTGATGGACTCCCCCATCACCTCTGTGGAGTCCTTCCGTTTCCTGGGCACCACCATCACCCAGGACCTCAAGTGGGAGCCGACCATCAGCTCCCTCATCAAGAAGGCCCAGCAGAGGATGTACTTCCTGCGGCAGCTCAGGAAAGCCAAGCTGCCTGCACAGATGTTGGTGCAGTTCTACACAACCATCATCGAGTCCATCCTCACCTCCTCCGTCACCGTGTGGTTCGCTGGAGCCACAGTCAGGGACAAACAGAGACTACAGCGCATTGTGCGCTCTGCAGAGGAAGTGATCGGCCGCAGCCTTCCATCGCTGCAGGACCTGTACGTCGCCCGAGCTCGAGGCCGGGTTGGTCGTATCACAGCCGACCCCTCTCACCCTGCACATGGACTATTCCAACCACTCCCCTCAGGCAGGAGGCTGCGGTCCATCAGGACTAGAACCTCCCGGCACAAGAACAGTTTCTTCCCCTCTGCTGTCGGACTCTTGAACACTTCTTAACCTGTCCCCCCGCCCTTTATAAAGTCACTTTACTGCCCATCATACGTCACTTTACTTCACTGTACTGCTGTCACCTTACATTGTGTGCACCATGTGCACTTGTATATTGTAAATAGTAACTGTAACTCTATTTTAAATTTAAATTTATTCTTTAGAAGTGTTTTTTATTCTTATTTTTATTATCTCTTTTTGACTGTTGCACTGAGCCAAAGCAATTTCCAAGTCTGTGACCTCCTGTTACTTACGTGGCAATAAAAATAATTCTGATTCTGATTCTGAACTAACAGACAAACAAACCCTGGTGCGGGAAAAAGCCTTGTGTGCATATCTGCTCTGTACCCTGCTAGAAAATGAAATAAAAAGAGTACAGTGGGAGTGTGGCATGTTCTCCCCACGTCTGTGTAGGTTTCCTCCGGGTGCTCCGGTTTTC